TTCTTTCCACTGGCGCTGAAGTACCGGGTAGACACATAGCAAACTCCACAATTTTTTTTAAATTTGGCACCTCAATATGCTGCTTGTGAAAATGGGTGAATAGCTGGACCCATTTCTCGGAGTAATTAGCTTCATTAGAATTTTGGAAGAAGCTTTTTGCCAATAACACCTCATCAAACAGCTCATCAATCATTATTTGGGTTTTCGATTGAGGTTTTTGCATTTTATTTATATTTTCTGCTGCTTTTTCGATTTCACTCCAGTTGAGCTCATTTTTCAAGCAGATCCACTCAAAATCTTCAGCTCCGTCGAAGCTCTTTTCCCACAATGTTAAATACGATATGCAGCGCTCATAAAAAGCGTGAACGTCACTCATGAAGTTTTCGACATTTATGGACTCTTTCAATTTATTTAAGAGTTGTTTAGCTGCTTGTGGAAGAAATTTGTTTTCCATCCTGTTTTGAAGATTGGTTTTTAACTTTGCCAACTCCATACCTACATCTGTCGCCGTTGAGTTAGTCTTCTCCATAGACTCAATGGTCTTGTTGAATACATTTAACTGTCCGAGCACAAACCAAAAATAAAGTGCTCCAATTTCTGTTGTGAAGAACTGTCGCAATGCGAGCGGACAGTTTACTTGAGCAAGAAAATAAGATTTCAAGCCTTCGTATAGCTGCAGGATCCTTTCCACAGCTGGTAATAAAGACAGAAATCTTGTATTTCCATGTTTCACTAATTTTTTGTACTCGATGTCAGCTGTCTCACAAAACTCTTTTAAGTTTGTGACGCGTACAGTATATATACAAAAATATTTGTATATTTTAACAACGATAGCCTCTATTTCGACAGGCAGACCATCAACTGCATGTTGAATTGTATTGTGAATGATGTGTGCGCTGCAACCAATGCCTTTTATGTTAACGCCGAGACCTTCCTTGAGCCTGGAATAGACGTTGTTGGTGCCCCGCCTGTTTACCCCTCCGAAATTCGTATTACAGTTATCACCACAGAAAGCAGCCACCTTGTTTTCTATTTCGTGTCTTTTGATTATCGACATTATGTGATTTGCCAAGATTTCAGACGTTTCTCCGACGACAGATCGAAAATCGAGTAACTTTACAGATATACCTCTCACAGGTACAAAGTACCTCACAACTATTGGTGCCAATTTAACATCATGTCTGTTTGATGTATCTGTTGAAATGCTCAAAAAATTGCATTCTTTTAGCTCATCGTGTAGTTCATCTCTTGCCATCGGTGCGATCACTCCCGTGATGATCGCTTCGCACTTGGTACGCGCAGACCCGAATTTGGGCTCAAATAGCTTCGATATTAATTTTGAGAAGCAATCAGATGTTTTAAAACTTATATCGTGCATTGCTGTATGGAATGCAAAAGTAGCTTCTTTAGCAGCAATGGAAAGTTCATTTTCTGCGGGTTCGACATTTTTGAAAAACGATGTTATGGTAGATGAGCTTGCAATGACACGTACGCTGGCCTTGTGTTTCGAGCACTTTAGATGATCCTTGATGTCCGCTCTTCCACCGTGTGCTATTGAAAACTCTGATAAACACTGTTGACATTTCACTCTGTCGTTATGACCGCAGAGCTTTTTAAGAAACGGATAGTCATTTTCAAGTTCTTTTGTGAATGTACAATTTCGTTTTGGCATGCTGGGCCAGGAAAAATCGTACGATAAATATCTGTTTCGACGAAAAAAAGTCAATACAATAGACACTAAATACAACACAGGCGGGCGACGAGGACGTAAAAAAAAAAACTGAACGCAACACGGTTTAATAGTGGACACGTGCAGTAGACAAGCTTGCATGTGCACAACTGACTGAGGTAATAAACTTTCACACTCACGCACGCAGTCGGTATCACTCGTTCTCGCTCGCTTTTGTTTCGTCTTTGGCGCGGGTGGCACGGGCGGCGCGGCGGGGCGCGGGGGAACGATTGGTTGGGGTGTCGGTGCTGTTCAAGTTTGACCGGGACGCCGGGACTGGGATCTCAAACCGGGACGTATGGTAAGCCTACCGGGACGCCGGGACTGGGATCTCAAACCGGGACTATCCCGGTCAAACCGGGACGTATGGTAAGCCTACCTATAAGGTCGTCTTCGGTCACTGTGCAGGAGACTCCGTAGATGATGGCCCGGGGCTTCTTTTTTGTCGGCAGGTCAGCTTTCAGGCCAGCCTTCGGCAGGGTTTTGTTTTTGAGGATCTTGTCAAGATCCTCTTTGGTTTCCGTCTCTATTAGGATCCCATTGTTGTGTATCTTGCGGACGTTTCTTATTTTTATATTCTCTTTTGTTGGGGCTATGGTGTCGATTATTGTTTTCTTCGTGGTCTCACTGGTGGAAGAAGGTGTGGCTTCGGTAGGATACACCGTAGCAACGTATCTCTTCGGTAATGTTATTGTTTTTGTCCCTGATTTGGTGATGTTGGCATAGGTGTTGGTTGGCGTGTTTGTTGTTGTTATTGTTGTTGGGTTTCGCTGTATTGTCTTCCCCAGGGCGTTGACCGTGTTGACAACACTGCTTACAATTTTTGTAAGGTTGTCCAGCCTCGCCTCAATGGGATCCTTTTTTTCTGTTTCGTTTCTGAGGGCTTTGTTTTCAGCCAGGATGCGTTCGGTGTATGTGTAGGCCCTCTTAATTAAGCTCTTGAAGTGCCTAGAGTCCTCCTCCGGCAAGCTCTCGGCGAGTTCCTGGCTGAAAGTCAGGAGCAGGAGCAGCGGTGAAGGCTCGGTGTCTTCAGGATCGGCGTGGTTAATCTTTTTCGTTTCATGGCTGGTGTCTCCCTCGTCATCGGATGCACCCTTGCGCTTCATTTTCTTCCCTAGCTTTTTCGCTTTCCTCGTCTGCACCGTCTTCCAGTCACCGCCCATGGTGACTTTCTTGTTGTTCTTTTTTTTTTCTAAAAAAAAAAAAGCTTATTTGTGAAAAAGTCCGAAAAGTTGTCAATAGTTGTTAAAAATTGTTTAAACAATTTGTTTAAACAATTTTGTTAATAATTGTTCACTGTCTGTTAGTTTTTGTCCACTACGTTTTAAATTTCCCGCACTGCAGTTTTTGTAAGTCTGTGGCGGAAACTCGAACTTTGTTTCTGGCCCCCGGAGGTAGTTGCTGCCAACCGCCGAAAAATTTTAAAAGTTGGCAGCAATGGACACTTTTTCCAGTAGAGAGTTTCCTCTCTACTCGGCGGGAGCCAATCACGGAGCAGAACACCGCGAGAGCAGCGCCAGTCCACGCCGACGGTGGCGTCTCGAAGCTCGAGGTGAGAGCACGTGTTTTTTCGAACTATTGGTGAATTTTTAAACTTCCACAGTTTTTACACAATTCACTCATGCGATAGGTCAAATTATTCGGTTTTTAAAACAATTAGTTCCTGTGTTTTTAGATTTACTCTCCGGTCACTGCTTCCGGAGAAATCGGTGCCGAAGACCGGCGTGCCGGAGCACGTGGCAATTTTTCACCGATTTTCACGATTCTTGGCACAGTCGAAACCTCTCCGCTAGCACTACACTTGGATACACAGGTTTTAATTATTTTCACTGTTTTTACCACTACTAGGAGATCAAACACATAGCACGGCGTGACGGCGCGTCCACTCTCTGCGACACCTGGCGGCAGAATGTTTTATTGAGTCAGCTAATGTCTAGAATAGAGCATTCATGAGGCCGAAGCCTGCTCTGACCGGGCGAAGTAGTGCTTACTTATGCCGATCGATGTAAAATCAGCGGTGAACAGCTGCGAAGGAACCGGGACTTGGATCCATCGCGCCCTCGCTGTTAAGTTCATTGGACCGGGGAGTCAGAAGACCCGGTCTTAACTCTCTGTCGGCTGCAAGGAGTTGTTTGTTTGCTTTAAGTATTTCGCCGGCAATAATGCCGGCGATAATATTATGAAAGTAGTGATGGTCGTTCTGCCAGGCGACCGCGGTGGCGGGTGCTCGGCACCGCACGCCAACCGCTACAACGGCTTTCTTTCTTGCCGTGTTGCCACCCCCAAAATGCCACACGACAGTAATAGTACAGCGTGCTAGGCCAGCGGGTGGCTAGTTTTATTGAGTCAGGTGCAAAAGCGCGACCGTTGCTCTCTCCGCCGGGAACATTATATGGTCATTTAACTTGTGGATATTTTCCTGCGTATAAATTCCGCCATTTGCTAGGTTAGCGGGATTTGTATATTTCCAATCTGCTTCTGTTATGGGTTGGAGTGGCGGTGGGGGTGTACGCCTTCCACTGGTCGCGGCGTCATTCTGAACCATGTCCCGTGGATTTTGAACGCTGGTGAGATTAGCTCGTTACACTCTCTTTTTGTTCCTGTTTTNAATATTTCAAAACGTTAGAAAAGGAAGGGATACGTCTATCTAATATTTCCAGTATTTTACATGGAGCAAGAGCTAAAGCTCCTGAAACTTTTACAAATTTATATGATCTTTGGTTTGATAAGGAAGGAAACAAAAGACTACATACAAAAACTTTAGAAAACGAGAAGATAAATCTGTCTAATATGTCCAGTATTTTGAATGGTGCAGGAGCTAACGCTGCAGAAGCTTTTAAAGATTTATATGACTCTTGGTTTGATGCAAGAGGAAATCAAACACAGCGTTTAAAACATTTTATTGAAGGCGAAGTTGAGGGAAGTAACTTTACGTTGCATAACTTGTCTAGCATATTAAGTAGAGCAGGAGGCAAGGCTAAAGGTGCTTTTCAAGAGTTGCACAGCGTTTGTTTTAATAGCAAAGGACAAAGAACAGAGCTTTTAGAGGACTT